ACATGGCATTAAAAGTGATTTTTACTTTAAAGTCATTTTAATCAAAAGGTCTCAAGGGTTCTATGAAATAATTTATGAATATAGATTTTGAAGAACAGCTCAAATTAAATCGCTGAGTACAATGTCTTACTGCTGACTGAATGAATCAATATTCACAGACTCTGTACTAAAAGAAGAACAATCTTATCTATAAACCTCTGGCCATAAGTGCAGTTTGCAGCATAAAACCACATTGTTTATAGCATCTAAAGAAGCTATTGTTTGGCAGACTTGATTGCCAACCTTAGCTGCCTCCAGGTATCAAATATTCAGTGTTTGGCTGGGGATTGTGGGCTTTGAACGTGCTGTTCTCATGGGACAGGTGGAACATGAACTGCTAATAGCAATCAGGAAACCAAAGAGAGGGAAACAAAGATGGGCTCTCGCATCATTGTAATCATTTGCACACACACGAGTGCTGGCTGAGGAGTAAGTGAATGCTTTTTTTATATGGCTGTATACTGGATGAGTAACTTAACATGTCATGGGACTAAAAACATGAGTCTACTTTCTCACAGCAGAAAGAAACTGAATTCTCTGAACATTAAGAAATTGTGAAATATTTCAAAGATTTACCAAACAAAATTGCAAACACAGTTGGCCTTTTGACAATATTTTTCAAAGACTTTTAACACAAACCATGAAGGATGTAAGAAAACTTCCTGCTGTTGTCTGTTAATGAGGGTAACCCTACATTTAAGAAGCTAATGCAAGTTAAAGTGGAAAGCCATGTTTCTTTGGCAAGTTACTTCTTGGTGTACCTGGATTAGGACATTTAAAAACTTTGATTTGCAATTCAACAAGAAACAGAATTGGAAACCCAATTTTAGAGATGAAAATTAAAGATTGAGGTTTCTCTAGCTACCTTTAGCTGCCATTCAGAGATGTCTTAGCGCCTGCTCATACAATGCACCACCTTGTCACAGTTCCAGCCTAGCTCCTGCCCAGCGGAGTGGACTGCTCCAGGGTCTCCTTCCCTCTGGAGGGTGCTCAGAAAACCTCCAAAAGAAGCATTATCAAGACACTTTAATTTATAAGCTGCTGATGTACAGCCTCTTTTTTTCTTTTGGAAATTATTTATGCAGATACTTCAAGCTCCATCTTTGCACATAAAGAACATCAAAAGCAGCTGAGCTGCCAATTAACTCACGGACAAATGGATTTTAGAAAAACAACAAGAAGCAGTATGTGGAAACAAAATCCAATTCAGCTGACTTGGCAATAAAGCATCTTGAGAAAAAAGCAGTGTGAAAAAGTTGCTTAGGATTTACTGCGGGCCATTGCACCCAATATTCAGGCATTTGAATGCTTATAAACATTGTAATAGTCCACCATTGTTTAATTATGAAGAACACAGCCAACAAATTATTCAGCTGCAGTGAACACCAAACAAACACAAGTTGAATGAAATAGGATCAATGCAGGCTTTAAAGGCTTAGCAAAGCTTAGTTAGTGCAGCAACAACAAACTTTCACTAATTTTTATTTTAAAACTAGTAATGGGATACATTTAGGAAGGCAAGTCCTGTTATCTAAGATATTTTGACTGTATAAGCGTGTACGCTGGTCCTGATGAGAGGAGAAGAATGATGCATTGCAGATGTTTAGGCGTTTGACAGCAAGGCTCCTGGAGGAGGGAGCAAAATGTAAAGAGGTGGTGAAAGATTTAAAGAAAAGAATCCTATTGACCCAGAGTAAATTAATCACTTAGTAGTGAAAAACATGTTTAAAAGCATTGCATTGAACATCTGAAAGGTAAGCACAAACTGACACTGAAAAGGGTCTTAAGATAGCCAAGCTTTAGGAGATCTACATGATCTTGATGGATGCCAGCAGCTCTAACTGCTCATATGTCACAATGGTCATGCTGCAGATGTTGGAGATGATTTGTCTTGGTGTGTGCAGCCAATAACTTTATGCTTTTCAAAAGGGCTGAAAATGTGCTGACACTGCTGTCTGGATTTACAACCTGGAAACTTGCGCATCTGTAATTTGTTTCCCCACTTCTCAACATTCAAAAACTTCAAGGTCCGCCTGTGCTGCAGCAGTGGGATGAATACCAATGATGGCCTAATGTACTCTTTGTTAATCGGCTTTTCTGCAAATCTGTTTCCATCATTTAGTGATTTCCTGTGCTCAGTGAAAACATTTGATTAATTTTTCCTACTGATTTTATATTCACCCCAGGATGACACAAGAATAACAATGACAGGAGCAAACATTTAACACACATGATGTTCATATGTGTTTAAGTACAAGGAGGAGACATTGTGCCACAAATGTGGAAAACAAAACTAAGTCTGCTCATGAATGTGTGTCTCTTCTGGCTTTGAACACTAATTGATCAATGAAAGTAATAGGGATGTTCTGGGACAGTGAACACTGTAATTAACCCCTCCGCCCAGTCTGGTAACTGACTTCATCTATTATTCTTGTCCATTGGTCACCCAGATACAACCATTCCTGCTTCACTCGGATCAAACTCTATTTATATTAATCTGCAACTCAGAATGGATCAAAAAACGATGTTTTACAGATAAATGAAACTACCCTATTGCAGATCATAAACTAAAGATGCTGAGAGGTGCTGGGTTTGAACATTTCCCCAAAGAATTTTTTTTCTAAAGCCTCTTTACAGCGATAATCATATTAAACTTTATGTACTTGAATTTGACTACAGTATGGTATTAAAATATGATTAATTATACTTTTTGATTGCCCTAAAAACCAAATGTCAATCATTGGTTAGCCCAGTAAATAGCCCATTTATTTACTGTAAATAAGGGGCCCTGGTATTTTTTGAGTCAGAAGTGGCTAAATGATGCCAAATTAGTCCTCAATGTTCCTAAAAAACCCTCTGGGCATCCAGTCTACTGTAACACCACAACTAAATTAAATATTTATCTTGTGTTTGGATGTTAATTTGAACCAGTTATCTTGTAAAGTCCATTGAAATAAAATTTGTTTTAATTTGGTGCTAAATAAACTGAATCTAAGAGAGATTCAACATTTATTAAAATCGTTTAGTCAAAATGTAAATATGCAGTAAAATAAATCAGAATGTTTGAATTATGGGCACAGGTATGGCACACGAGTAAACCCATATACAAATTTATTCTTCTGTGAAGTGTCTGTCACGCGTCTGAGTCCCGACCCATCGACCTTTGCTGCATGTCTTTCCCTGCTCTCTCATAACCTGCTTTCCTGTCTGATCACAGTGAAAAAAAAAAAACTTAAAATACACACAATCAACTTTGACGAATATTTGATTGTTTTGGAAAAATACAATCCCTCAGAAGAAAGCATATTTTTCTGACTCATGCCTTGAACTGCATTAATCCCAGGGGAAATGTTGTCCAGCCTCGTACATTACAGGATCAATAATTAATATCTAATGAAATTTCCAAGAGAACACAGAAGAAGGACAAACTAATTTCACATTTCACAATAGGAGGTTTGAAATGATCCATATAAAATAGTGCAGAACACAAAAATTATTTATCTGTTGTGACTTTCAATATGACTCAAAATGACCTGCTGATATCATGAAAACAAGCTATGGAGAATATATAGTGAACAATTTATTTTGAGCCTTGCTGCATTGAAATGATCAGAGCCCTTGTATTCATTTTGTCAGACTGTCCACTTGTGGGGACTTATTTCATCCTCTGCTATTCCTCCCTATCTCTGAGGTCAAGGAGACTTAAGAAAATAGGCCACAGCTGAGTTCAAAACACCTGAATCACTTTAGATTGCCATCAAAATAATGTCGATGGAGGAGGCAGCCTTAGATAAAAATCTTTTAAATATCTACATCTAAGATAAGAAAAAACACATCTTAATTTACTTAGCGCTAAAACTACAACAAATGTACTCCCAAACATCTTTACAGACAGGTACAACTCATATACATGATGCAACAAGACCTATACCAGGTTGTGTTAAAAACACTCTTCAGTGGAGATTATGTTGCTGTTAGTTATTGAACAAGTTAACCTAGGTGCAGTATCAGAAAAACATTTGAAAATGACAAGTACAAAAACAGTTATACAATGTTTGAAATCAATTTTATATGGAAGCATGCTGAGGCATTTCACTGAAACTGATACAGCAGAGAGCAAATCGGGAGAGTCACTGGATTCTGCTCATTTTGTTCCAGACTTTTTGGAAAGAGAAAAATCTGTGTGTCACAAAATATTGATATACAATCTTTCGACAAGTTCTGAAGATAGCAAGGTGAACATTTTAGAGCAAAGTGGTTCTGCTTTAAAATATGCGTTATGTTATATATGCAGTCCTGAAAATTAAGGGATGTTTGTACTTTCTATAGAAATTGCTGAAAATATATAAAACACTTAATAGGCTACAGCAGGTTTCTGAGAAAAAATACCAACTTTGTTGAAGACATAGAGGTCTTAAATATTTAAATTAAAAAATTACTCTGTGTCATTAAGGACCATGACTTTGTGAGGCATTTTATATTAGCATTAGTACTTATGTTATATTCATCTTCTCATGCAAGGGTGCCTATATTGTCACAATTGTGGGGATCAAACTATTCAACACAACACTGCTCTGCACTGGTGCAGTAATGGATTCTGACTAGTAGTTATAGTTTCATAATTAAGAAGAAAACAACTTATTATTCTTATTTATGAAATTTTTCTAATGTACTGAACTTTTAGCATGGTACAATGCAATTTACAAAAAAGTGAAAACTTTTATGTCTGCAGATTACTGTGTACCCTGATTACTGTAAATGAGATGTGTAGTATGTTTCATGATATGTCTAGCTCTAGAAGTCTTCCACAATACATCCTGAGTCATAAATCCAACTCTGGACATCCTCAAAGTTCACAAGCAGGCTTTGTAGGCACACACATTTGAAATCTCGATCAAGACTGATGAGTTTGGACAAAACCTCAGCAGATCTAATAAAAGAACGGCCACACAAAGTCTTACCGGTGTTGAGCGTGCCTGTGATAAGTCTGAACAGGTACTGTGCGAACTTGAAGATCTCACGCTTGCACCGTTTCCTGCAGCTCATCTTTGCTCCTAAAGGAAGGGGGCTGCTTGAAGGGGCCAGCACAAAACCAGAATTCAGCCGTGAAGTTAAAAGGAGGGAATTATCCAGGGAAGACTAGTTGCCACAAAGGGGCAAGTGTCCACTTCTATCCTCCAGACTTCTGGCTGTGTCAGTGTGGCCCCTGAGTCCGCCTGCAGCTGGAGAGATGCTCATCAGTGAGTAGAGGGCAGCGGGTGGTAGGGGCTCGGGTGTAAAGGTGTCCGAGTTCAGCTCCACGGTATGCCTGGCTGATCAACACCGTGAAGCATGTGATCTTTTGTCAGGTCATTAATGTTTGCTTTTCCAGCTCTTTACCCGTCAGAAGATAAAAAGAAGATTCTCTGTTTTCTCTTCTTCCAAACTCCCACCTCCTCTTCACACTTTTCCCCTGCTCAAGCAAGAAACTATCCTGTTGGCTTTACAACACAGTGGGTCTCTCCCTTGCCGTCTCTCACAAATACACACACCCACACTTGATCTCGTAGTGAGCCTGCTGCTCGCTCTACTCAACACCATCTGTGGATGTTTTACCCTCGCTGACGGTTGCCATGGAGGTGTGGCCTGATTGGCTCAAGCTGAAGAGGAGGAGGAGGAGAACGGGGAGATAGAAGGTGCGCCAGGAGACGAAGAGAAATAAAGGAGAATTAAGGGGAAAGTGTCCACTTCAATGAATCAGCATTATATGTATAACTGGACGTTTTTTCAATTGGTGACAGTAATGGACAATTGTAACAGCACAGCAGGGACTCTAGTGACACTCAAACGATGAGAAACTGTGTCCATAAATTTAAAAGGCAGGAGATGGAGAGAATGAAGCAGCGAGGTTGTAGAGCCCCTGCCTCCCAACATCAAGGTCAGTTTAAATAATGACTGACAGGCCACACCTAACATCTGTGATGGCGCTAGGAAGAGCCAAGAGCATCATCATCGCCACTAATTAGTCTACACTGTACCTCAGTTGTGCTCATCGATCAATGCCAACCTCTCCCTGCTGAAATGATGGTCATTAAGTGAAGTCCTGTTGGGTGAAGTGAAACAATTGCAGAAAAAAAAGAGTGAAACATAATCTTGGTATCACCTGACCACACTGGTCAGACTCCCATGGTTCTTACAACAACTGAAAAAGTTAGGTAAATATAAAGAAAACTAGAAAATGAAAAAATATTTATTTTTCCTGATTTTTTATTTTCTGAAAAGTTAAATCCAATCATTCAATCATCAGTCCTTCCATCCAATCATCAATGCATCGGTTTATTCCTCTGAAAATATGCATCCATCTTTCTATCCGTTTCTAGATCATGTAGCAATTGATCCACTCATTGTTCCATCTATTCATTTATCCATCAGCCAAGTTTTCACTTGTCCACCAAATCCATCTGTTCATGCATCCATCCATCCATTTGTCCCTCATACATTCATACATTGGTCCATTTCTCTATCAGTCTGTTCTTCCAGCCATTTGGTGCACCATCCTCTCTCCATTGGATCATTTTTCATCTGGAAATTTAGTAATTTTTGTCAGAGATTAATTCCATTATTCATTTATTTATCCACCTGTAATTGGATTATTTACACTAAGAATAGGCTGAGGAAGGAGTGATCACTGAGAATTTAAGTCCACCAATGGATGAAATTTTGACATGTAAAATATGAAGGATCTTTTTACTTAGCTATGAAATTTATTGAGCCCAAATATTTGGTAAAATGGGTCTAAGACTCAATGGGTCACCAGACAGAGTCATTGTTCTATTTTGGTGGAGAGACTCTGCAGACTCTGACCTCTGAGTTTTTCTTGGAGTGTGTTTGTAACTGCACACATTTTCAGGACCCAAAACAAGCAGCAAGGGATTACTCCAGGAGTAAAAAAAGAAAAAAAAAAAAAGTGGAGAAATATAAAGATTTCAAGAACTTGAAATAATGTATGAAACTTTTTTGCTGGGCCAGAGTGCCACAGGAAAGTAGTACAACGTCTCCACTGGGTGAATAATTTCTGAGCTACCTGTAGCGAGATGCAGAGTTTTTGTGGTTGAACTTATTTTAATTGACATAAGGAAATGGCACTGATATGAAAAAAAGATATTTACCATATTATCCAGACTATAAGTCGCTCCGGAGTATAAGTCGCACCAGCCATAAAATGCATGATAAAGAAGAAAAATACATATTTAAGTCACACCGGAATATAAGTCGCATTTTTGAGGGAAATTTATGTCGTCATGAAAGGCAATGAAAATAGAATAGAGGCAACAACAGGCTGAATAATTGTACGGTATGTTAACATTACATGACACATGAACAATGAACTGAGAACATGCCTGGTAAGTTTGCATAACATATTAAGAGTTAGTCAGATAACTATAACATAAATAACATACTAACAAGTTTACCAAACCATCTGTGTCACTCCAGATCACTAAATCGAATGAAATCTTCGTCCTGGATGTCGCTTTAAACAGTTCCAACAACTCCGAATTTAGAATAACACAGGCCTGGAGCGCCCTCTTGTGGTTTAGTGTGAAAATAACAGATACAATATCATGATGTATTAATTTCCACATATAAGTCGCTTCGGAATATACATTTCTGAACTATCGTAAGAGGAGTTCCATCTTTTTCCCAGAATGACATTAATTTCATAATCCAGAAAGTTTAAACAGTGGTAATTAACAAGCCAAACTTTAAATTAGTATCTATAATACAACAAACCAGATGCACCAAATATTATAGAACTTTTTCATTATGTTCTTTAGTCTGAACATAAAGTAATGTTAAGGTTTGAGAGGTTATGCAGCTTTCGTATTACTATTACTTCAGAAAGTAAATTAAACTCAAGTCAGCTTCTGGCTTAAAATGTAGCATTGTTTAAGAAAATTTAGGAATCCAAGTTGACTGTCTTTTAATCAACGCTGTTGCAATTAATTTTTCTTTGTAATATTTAAGACAAGAGTTTTCCGAACCTCCTGCCCCCATTTATAAGATATGGATCTCTAAATCAATGTGTTTGATTTATTTCATCTTCTTTTTATGTTTTCAATTGTTTGCTAATTTATATGACCAATTAGTGTTAATTCCAATTCAGCCATTTTTTGTTTTCACTTTGTAAGGAGTTAAATTAGAGAAAAACCTGAATATTCTGCTAAATAACCTGCATTACTTTAGAAGGAGCTAAACAATTAATAAAATTTCAATATTTATCTCAATTTCATGATGGCAAATACTGCAAATGCATAGCAGGACTGATTAAAAGCCATATTTTCAACCATTTATAAATTTCTGCTCCCATGTAGTAAAACTTTGCTTCCGATAACTAATATTGATTCTTGGATCAATTTTTACTCACAACTGCTGTATGTCACAGTGACTCAAAGCCTAGGGAGAGTGGTGAAAAGAGAGCCTACTGAGAAAAATGTGGGTTGATTTTAATTAATATCATGCTGCAAAATCCAGCAACAATATTTAAATGCCCCACTTTCCTAACACAGTGCAGCTCTCCTGCAAAAGTGTAATTATCATCATTATATATTTAGTCTGGTATTCTGTGTTAATACTAAATGCATGTTTTAACTAATTCTTTCATTGCAAGACATCAGCTTGCATCTGATTTCAGCCCACCCACCTATTAGCCCCAGGGAAAATAAAAACCTAATTTTAATACCTGAGCAAGTCCATCACCTGTCACACAGTCCCCCAGACTCCATTTCTATCCGTGTTCCCATTAAACACACACATCCCTGGAGTCTCTAACGTCCACAGAGATGCTCTGCAGCAGCAACAGTGAAGCATTTTCAGGTCAAACAATGAGAATAAAAAAAAACACCAAATGTGTTCATGACAAATTGAGTTCAGTGAGGTTTGTCGCCTCACTATTTCTGAGCTGAACAGATGGCCTGGGGCACTGCAGTGGCAAACACACACTTTGACCAAAACACAGCGTTCAGGTACACTATGTTGCTGGCAAACACTCTACATATACTGAAATGTGTGCTATTTTCCAAGTCTAAAGGTAACTTGTAGACCACTCTCAAGGCATTCCCAGCCTCCTTATTGGGTGGGAAGTGTTAAGTGTTGAACAAATCACAGCATTCCAAGCCCAAATATAGTCGTGAAGAAAAACTCAGTGGGGATCCTCTTCCAATTAATAAACAGAATCGGAATAAAAAGTGACATCAAAGTTTTGAAGCTGATAGACTCAAGTAGGTAATTGTCTCATTTAGATAAATATGTTTGAAAATATTTGCTTACAGGAACTGGATCTGAGAAAAATCAAGTCAACCAGGCTTGAATCACAATGGACATGCACTGCTAATTTAATGGGTGAGAAATCTTCCCATTGATTCATGGGTAGTCCACAAACATTAACATCACAGTCAGTTAAAATCTGAGACTGGTTAAGGTTTGTTTCAAGGCTTTTTCAATTTCAAACCTTGTATGAAAAAGGTTCTATCTCTGTGCATAAGATCCTGCTTTAATAAAATCTGTGATCCTGAGGACATTCAAAGTACTTTTATTAAAAAAAACGTTATCTTTGTGGTATGAGCACATATGCTGTGAGGCATTTAGATAAATGGACAGAAACACCAAAGCCAGATCATAGCCTCCCCATGTTAAGAGAACTATGACACCATATGAAGTGGTGTGTATAAAGAAAAATCTGCAGTTCACAGGTTACAGTGTGCTTTGCAATGTGATCAAAAGATTCTGAATTGTTTTTTTTTGTAAAATTGAAAACTTAACTGCCCTCTAAACTATATCAGTATGAAAAAAATTGCCTCATCTTCAGTTTTGCGACATATGCAGCCTTCGGGGTTTTGCTCAAACATATCGTCTTCAGTTTAAGATAACCACTTTAATTTCAGCTGTATAGACAGATACAGCTAGTGAACTGTATCTGATTGCTGACATAAACGAACATGGAATCAGAAAAATGCCTTTATGTGGTGTTTAACAACTCTCTTGATGGAATAAAGGGGAATGATGTTTCTTTTCCGGCAGAAAATGACCTAATGTAAAAGTTGTTTTGCGTATCTAACATTTACTATATCAGTGTGTCTTTGCCAGTTCTTTGAAGCGAGATAAAAGAGAATAAAATTATTACTTTAATTGTTCCACAGCACTCAAAAATCAAATAATCTTTATGGAGCCCAAAAGAGACTTTTTATTTCCTGCAGACTTGCTAGACATGAGGCTTCAGCGTTGCACTCTGCAGCAGTAACTGAACGAACATAAAAAAGGTGCCATTCAAGGAGAACTTGACAGATATATTGATCCACCAAGAAAACCCAAACTGCAGGTGCCCTGCGGTGGCAACCATGATTACCACAGAGGCTTTGTTTCTCCCACTATGTCATAGCAGCTTACCTTCCTGGAAAACACTGCAGTGAGTAGCCTGTCATGCGACGCATTACCTCAGCTCAAACCCACAGATGCTCGACCTTAAATTATTTTAATGGCAATAAAGAGGAAAACGACTCATAAAAT